AGTTGCTGTCGGCTTTGACATTCAAATATTTCCTTCATAAATACTGAGGACTTGAAACTAGTACAAATTTTATTTTCATGGACACACTTGACCACAAGAGGTTTTCTTCATTATGGTTAGCATGGGGACCGGATGACATCCCTTTGGACAAATTGGTGAGAACAAGCATGTCAAGTGTCAGGGCAGAGGTGGCTTTCATGGACCAGATGGACACACTTCTCACACTGCGCCAAATTGCTTCAGAATATCAACCATTTCATCGTTGTCTTGGTCTATCTCTAGCGATGTGCAGTGATGTTATCTGGATACTGCGCCATATTGCTTCAGAAGCTCAACCAACGAATTGCTGCCTTCGTCTTTTGCGATACCAAGTGATGTTCTCCTGCCCAAACCTGTCTTGTTGATGTCAACTATGTTCTGAGAGACAATGTTCTCTACAATCTCTACATTGCCTCCCTCACAAGCCTTATGAAGGATGTTGTCATTGTTTTTATCCTTCACTGTCAGGTCACATCCTTTGCTCACAAGTAGGTCAAACACTGCCTTGTGCCCCCTCAACGCTGCCCTCAACACTGGTGTCTCTTGAAATATATTTCTTCCATTGTAGCAGCCTTTGTCTTGTGAAACAACATATTCTACTATATCTACATTGCCTACATATCTACATCATCCTTTACAGGGGGATCAAATCCTCCACACACACGAAACATGTCGGCATCCCCTCTCTCTGCTGCCCACATTGCTGCTGTTTTCCCATGTTTGTCCCGTACAAAGTCAATTCGTTTCTTCACAGACAAAACACACTCAGCCAGCTGGAGATTCTCTGTCTGAGCAGCAACAAGTACCACATCATTCCCATCATAGTCCTGTGTGTGTACATCAGCTCCAAGAACAATCAGGTGCTGACAGATGTCTGTGTGTCCACTGTACGCTGCCACCAACAGGGGTGTTCTCCTGTCACTGTTCACAGCATTTATGTCAAACATCCCTGATGACAGGAGATGCTCCACTATAGCCTGGTTACCTCCCTTGGACGCCAGATGTAGCAGTGTGTTCGTGTCAGTGTCTACAACTGACAGATCTCCCCCTGTGTTCAACAATGTGTCAAAAATGTGTTTATGTCCTCTCTCTACACAATACGACACAGGTGTTTTATTATATCTGTCTGTCTTGTTTACATCCTGATATCCCACACCCCGTACAATACCCAAGTTTCCCCCTTGACTGGCGTAGTGAAGAACTCCACGTGACTTTGTATCCTTTAATGACAGGTCACACTGTTTTTTAGTTAGAAACTCAAACATGATTCTGTGTCCTGCAGCTGCTGCTAACATCACTGGAGTCCTCCCGCTGGCATCCCTCGTATTGATGTCAACCTTGCCCTTTGACAGGAGGAACTCTGCCAGCTTCAGGTTCCCTGTTTATGCTGCTGTGTGAAGCAGATTCAGACCACTCACATCCACAAGTAACATGCTCGATCCTTTCTCCTCTAGGTGTGATTTCAATTTCAATTTCTTGTGTGTCAACATGAACCTATTCAGGCCATGTTCCCTTACTCGTAGAAACTGTGACATGTTCAGGCAGTCACCAACATGTCCATAAGAGAGTGTCTCAGACATGCTGAAGTCCTCAGGAGAGATGTGACAGTTCTGTGACAGAAGTAACTGAAACACATCTCTGTGGCCTCTGCATGCTGCAATCATCAGAGGTGTCTTTCCATACTGGCCTCTGTGGTTGATGTCAAACAACTTACTTGACATCAGATGTTTGACAATCTGGACACTACCGCCCTGACATGCCAGATGTAGGATAGTATCACCGTTATCATCAACACCAGTCAGGTCACACTTCTCTTCATCTGCCAGATACTCATACAGCTGACCATGACCTTTCAGTGCAGCCATCATGACTGGTGTCCTCAAGTCCTGTCCTGGCAGATTCTTCCAGACCTCCATGTGGGGAAGCAGTAACTTGGCAACATCTGTATACCCCCTCAATGAGGCCAGATGGAGGGCAGAATTTCCGACTTTGTTCTTGATCAGACACTCTGCATCATCTTTCAGTAAGGTGTCGACCATGTTGGCATTATTCCTGTCCACGGACATCATAAGAAGAGAGTTTCCATCTCCATCTGTATAGTCTGGTGTAATGGTGATATCTCCCCTCTGTAGACCCAGCAGCTGCTGCCGTAGGTGCTGGAAGGACTTGGTGTCATGTAGTCTGATACAACAAGCTAGTTCTTCACTGACATGTACCTGTGACAGTTCCTGTTTCTGTAACACCTTCTGACACAGGTAATCATTGCCAGACTGTAGGACCCAGTACAAGAAGCACCTTAAACCAGTGGAAGAACCAGCTGTATCCTGTAAATGTAGAACATCCACAAAACTGTCCCCGAGCTGTGTCAGGAACCTGTCTATGTTGTCCTCCCTGCTGAGAACTGGGTGAAGGAAAGTGTGTATGAACTTCCCTCTCCTCGTGTCTTCTACCAGCTTTGTCAGAAACATGTCTGTGTTGTGACTTGAGATAAAGATGGTTTTACCAGGTAAGTCTGTGAGAGATTGTGTGTCGGCAATTTCATGCATAACTTTGCAGCGTTTCCATAGAACTCCAGGAATCATGTTGTCAACAACAAACACAGAGGCGTCATATATGACAGGATCTGTGAAACTAATATTGTCGCCAGACTGACATAGATAGGTGGCACACAATCTGTGTAACTTGTCAGGAAGATTATCTGTTCTTAATTTGGGAAGAAGAGACTCAAACTCTTCCACAACATAACTCTCATAACTCTCATAACCCCAATAATCACTTTCATACTGATTTCGATAGTTGTCTTTCACTTTGTTCCCAGAAATCAAGATGTATATTATTGCAGCAGAATAATCAACATTTCCAAGTATTCTTTCTATTTCTTTTCTGAAATGTGAGTGAGGGTATGCGAAAAATGATACAGGATCTGTGGTAGGTCTGTCTTGACAGAAATGTTTGATGACCTTGGGGAAACCGACATATAAAGGAAGGTTAGCTATGATGTCCTGCCGTGTGTCTGATGGAATGTCTGTCTGCATCTGCAGCATCTGAGAATAGTCCTGCTTTGTTCTGTCCCAGTTCTGTCTTCCTATCTGTGTTATGTCCATCTTTCGATTGAAGGTATCTCGTTTGCTGTTCGCGTATATAATAAGAACACGAACAAGCTTGTTGGTATAAGTTTTGTTGCGTATCTCATTGACAAAGTTTGAATATACCCAGTGATCTGCCATGTCATCAATCACCACCAGTGTCGGTTTAGTTGCCTGGAATACATCCCTGTTGCAGTCCTCCTTTCTGCTGCAGAAAACTGTGTTGTATCCTTGTTCCTGGTAGTCACAACACAGCATGTGTCCTATTGTGGTCTTACCTTCCCCTGGACCACCAGTCAGCATCACCAGGTTGTGTTGTTGGAGCTGGTCTCGGACTTCCTGGTAGGCAGCTGTCTTCACGAATAATCTCTCCCAATCTGAAACAAATGGCTCATTTGTCAAAAGCTGAAGACACAATTAAATATACATTTACTCATAGCGATACAACCACAGATACATGAAGTAAAATAACATGAAGAGACTGTAGCTACACATAACAGCAACACTCCAGAATAAACACTTTTACAATCCAAAGTGCTTATCTTGATTAATCCCTACATTCATTAATGTTGTGACGAGTATTGATTAAACCTTCCATATCTAACACGCAGCACTCATGCATGCTTCGAAACGTCCTGAAACCTATCGGAAAATGGATCACGTGTCAAAAGCCGAAGATAAAAATAAGAACCACAGAACAACCGCAGAACAACCACTTTTGAATGATTCTGTGACGAGTATTAATTAAATGTTCCGAATCTAACAGGCATCATCAACGCTTGAAAATATGTGCTAAAACTAAACAATTGTCCTTTAAAAGAGAAAGTGTATCGATTACTGTTTGTAAATCAGATATTGAGAGTCAATTTCTACCTGTGAGTTTTCTTGATGGCCTTTGATGCTGGATTATCGTCCTGAATATGTTAACCATCTTCCCATCTCTGGAAGTCAAAGACTGAAGTACTGACACATGGGCTGCAGTTTTGTGGAGTTGCTGGATCCTTGTCAGGAAGTTCTGAGGACTGCTGTATATGTCTGGCGATACGACGCCATGCACGGGGTGAAAGTTGATGCAAGTTCTGCTCCTGACAGCGACAGTTAGAGCCCGGGCCTGTGTGGAGTTGTAAAGAACAGCGTCAGCCTCATCTCTGTAAACAAACGTCAGGACGAGAACCACTCCATCTGTTGTAAAGATGAAGGCGTCGCAGATGACGCTGTGTGGAGCTGGCACCTCCTCCTCTGGCTCCAGGAACGTCAAAGCAGGGGAGTTGATGTAGACGAAGTTTAAATCAGGTATGGATCTCACGGATGTTAAAATATCCAGCCTTACAAACAGCTCCACGTCTATTGGGTGAATGCAGTCTGCAACTGTAACAAAGACAATGCAATGAAAACATGCTGACTTTTTTCCGAAGGGTCACTTCATTTGCACCTGATTTCAGTTGTGTAATAATCACTGACCAGCTGTTGTAATACTATTGTAATAACCTTATTTATCATCTAAATCTGGCTACCGCATGATACATCACTTGAGTCTCCAAGGAAATATTGCTATTATGAAATTGCATCACAATGCTTTGCCGACCATTGTGACGTCATTGGTTGCCATGATCTCACAACGAAATGACATCACCAATCGTTCTGCTACTGAACTGGTTAGCTGTACTTCTTACACTGGTTACTACTGTCTACAAGCTGTAAAACAGGGAAGATTTTGTTAGTTAAAGAAAATATCACCATCGTGACTTTTATCTCCTTATTTTGAGGTTCAACTATTATCTACTTGAGTTCATATATTTGATATAAAAAGACACAAGGTTGTTTTTTCTCTATTGATTTCGCATGCTTTGACGTCCATTACATAACTTTACTTACTAGTGCCAGGTGTGTCAAATACTGCATAGGAAAAGTCCACATCTGGAAATGTAGCAAAGCCAGTTATGTCAGAGTAAATTGTACATTACTGGTCACACAAGTAGGAATGGGCATGATTAATTGATATTATATTATAAATTATCAGTGCAAGAGAACAAACAGTCTATATTTTCTGCCAAAACATTTCATTTGGTATATAACTTATACAATCACTAACAGTGTTGAATTTGATTTAAGCCATGGATATTGTGGCCATGTTGGGGACATGTTGAATCTGGGTCTTCAAGGCTTTTACACGTTAACCCCTCCACTTTTACAGAAGAATAAACTCGTTGATATCGTAATGATAATAGTAGTTGGTAGCGGTACCCTGGTACCGCTCCTGGCTTCTGATTGGTCGGTTGGTCTGATGACGTCACTTCCGGTTTCGGTTTGGTCATGTGACTGCGCATGCGCACAGGGCATGATGGGTCCTGCGTGCGCATCCAAGATTGAGGCACATTCGTTCCGGTGGCGTGCGCATCCAAGATGGCGTCCCATCCGCTTCCGGTGGCGTGCGCCTCCAAGAGGGCGTCGCCTCCGTTTCCGGGGAAGGGGAAAAACCCAGAGAAGCGGTCGTTAAAGGTGAACAAGATCGACATTGAAAGAAGCGCGTCAAAAATCTTTTTGTTGTTGTTGTTGTTGTTCTAAACATAGAAAAGGTGGTGGCGGTGATGAAGGGTGGGTGGTGGTGAAGGGAGGGAGGGAGGGAGGGAGGGATGAGGAGGCGGGTTCTTTGTTTGGGTTGGAGGGTCGTCAAAGCATAGGATGAAAGCGTTCTTTCGCGAGAGATGGGTGGCCCTGAAAAGGGCCGTTTTGAAGAGGATGACTTCTTTACATGCAGGTACACGCAACGGTACAAAGGCACGGGTGGGCTTTCATTTGGCGTCTTACAGGACACCTACTTGTGTGCGTTAAACGACGCATGTAGGTGTCCTTCAGCACAGTGTTGCAATATAGACATTGAAAAGTCCCATCCCGTGCCCTTGTACCAAGGGCGTACACAGGTAGGTACCCTTGGCATCTACCACATTGCCATGGAGGTAACGATGGCAATGATGGTGATGTAGAAATCAGTTCCAGATCCCAGTTTTCATACATGTTGTTGCTGTTGCTGCTGATTATTTTCTTTCTTTTTTTACAAGTGGCACTGATCCACTCGAATGGTTGTTCTCTTGTTTTATAGGAGAACCACTGACACCCTGCTTCCTGGTTGGTTCCCCAGGCAGCAGCTCCGATTGGTTCGTTCCGGTGCCTTGCCAGCACCTCGGTTTTCCAAAACGGACCGACCCCTGTGTTTCTTTTCCTTAGGAAATGAATTTTACCATGGGAGAGAAAGCACAACCCCGGTTCGGCCAATTAGAGGGCAGCCTCTGATTGGTCGATAACCCAGGCTTCTGATTGGTCAGATTTCGATCCGGGTTTTTTCTTGGGTAGCCTTGGAATTTTTGTGTGTGTGTGTGTGTGTGTGTGTGTGTGTGTCTTCAAACAGAAGTTGACGATGATTATTATTATGAATGATACCGAGGTGCTGGCACTCGTGTAAGTTGACAGGTGTACTGTCATTCGTGTTGCCAGGTACACACAGTGTTTCACACATGTTGCCAGGCAAACGTGGTGTCATGTGTATGTGTGTGTGTGTGTGTGTGTGTGACTACAACCATTTATTTAGTATGTAGATGGATAGAGAAAGATCGATACACATACGTGACGTTTGCACACGTGATGTACTGCGTGTCGCGATGTGCACGCCGTGTTTCATCCATGTCTTCATGCAAACGTACTGTCATGTGTGTGTGTGTGTCTCTCAAACAGATGTTGATCCATGTTATAATTATTATTATTATTATTATGTTTCATGATACCAAGATGTTGACACCCATGTAGGTCTACAGACGTACTGTGACATGTGTTTTCATGCACACGTGATGTTTGACTCGTGTCTCCATGCACACGCGGTGTTTCATTTGTCTCACGTGTCTCTATTTATATATTTATATACATATATTTATATATAGATATATTTTATGTGGTGTCACGTGTAGGCGTGTGCCTCCATGAGGCCTAGGGGAAGGTGTGGGTTCTTTGTTTTGGATTGTTGGGTTGGGAAAGCAAAGGATGAAAGTTGACTTTTGGGTGAGATGGGTGGCCCTGAAAAGGGCCGTTTTTGGAAAGAAACACATTTCTGCTGCAGTCCAAGAAGAAACATCATGTCCAAACCTATGACAAGTAAAGGATGCACTGGCTGAATGATCTGATGGAAACGGACCCCCATCTTCACCTCCAGCACGCCAGGAATGGAAGTGAAAAAGACTTCACGTGTGGAGAGGGTCAACATCGGTACAGTGTGGATGGCAACGATCCAGCGACAGGCACCATCTACGAATTCCTGTGCTGTTTCTGGCATGGGTGTCAGGCCTGTCACAAGACTAAGCGTGGAGAACTGCATCCTGTCCTGGGCACATCGTTGGGAGCCTGTTATACCAACACCCACTACCGCCTGAGTCTCTTGAATCAACACCCTGAGGTGAAACGGATCGTCACCCTGTGGGAGCACGAGTTTACAAAAATGCAACAGGAGGACTCCGCTCTGCGTACTTTCTTGCATGGACCCCACTGTATCCACGTCCCTGGGCCGCTCAACCCTCGCGACGCCTTCTATGGAGGACGCACCAATGCCACGCGATTATGCTACGAAGCCCAAGAAGGTGAAACCATCAAATACATCAATATTTGTTCCCTTTATCCATACATTTGTAAGACCGGAGCATTTCCCGAGGGACACCCGACCCTTCTCTATCAACCCCCTGTGGACACGTTGTTTGAACTGAAAGGATTGATCCAATGCCGTGTCCTACCCCCGAAACGACTTTACCATCCGCTACTGCCTTACAGATCGGGTGGCAAACTGCTCTGTCCTTTGTGCCAATCGTGTGCCGATACTCGGTCAGACTCCCCCTGCAAGCACACGGACGAAGAGAGGTCATGTGTGGGTACGTACGCCACCGTAGAACTCTAGGCCGTGAAGAAGTATGACTACCAGGTGCTTCAGATCTACGACGTTTGGCATTTTGACATCTTTGCACAGCATGACACAGCAAGTGGGACTCTTTGACACTTATATCGATCGGCATTTCAAGGAGAAGCTCGAAGCCAGCGGATACCCCGAGAAATGTACGGATCACGACGGTTACATCCAGGTTCTACGACAAAGAAGGCATTGGGTTGGACAAGGATCGCATTGAAAAAAATCCAGGACGTCGCAAGATTGCCAAGATGCAACTGAATTCGCTCTGGGGCAAGTTTGGACAACGGTTAGACTACAGTCAGAACATCTATATCTAGAACGTACGACCATGCTCGGACCATGCTGGTCACTGATTGGCCGAAACGAGGTTGTGCTCTTCTCTCACGCTACAAGCCTAACCCTATGGAAAAGAAACACAAGGGTCGGTCCAGTTTGGAAAAATTGAAGCTCAGACCAGACCCCGAAATGGACCAATCAGAAAGCAGGACCTCAGTGCCTTTTAAAACGACCAACGCTCTCTGGTCATCACTTTTCACTGAACGGACCAAGCAACAACATCGTCCCTCTGATTGATGTTCCTCACGTTGTGTTGGCTGTTGGCGTTTCATCTGGAAGAAACACGTGTGTACCATCAAGTGTTGACTCACATCCGTGAAGACTTGGAAATAAACAACGAACAGAACAACTGGACAACAACACACGACACGACATGGGTGGTAAAGGAAGCAGTGGAGATGAGAACGGTGACATGACTGCTGAACTGTGGGGTGAAGTGTACACATGTTGTGTGCAAAGATAAAGGCCGACGACGCTTACGCCAAAATACTTTCAAAAATGCGGAAACTGACTGAACCCCAGAAAGTAGCACCGAAGAAGACGATAAAGAAGACCCAGAAGAAAAAAACAAGCAAACCAGCAGCAGCAGCAGCATCAAGCACCACCACCACAGCAGCTGTTGTCACCATAGCAGCAGCAACACCCACCACCACCACCAGCACCACCACAACAGCGCCAGTCACCACCACTACAGCAGCAACAGCAGCAGCAGCAGCAGACACCGAAACGAAGGGGACATCCTTTTTGAAACCTGGAACACCTTCAACACCTGCAAAAAGACGACCACGGAGGAAATTGTCTCTGATGATCTCTCATCAAGAACAGCTGTAAGGACCATGCTCTTCTTTGTCTCAGTCAGTCTTGATGTGATGATGATGATGTTGATGTTGATCATGACTATGACTATTCATAGGATTGACTATGTCATATGATTGACAGGACCCCAGATGTCCAGTTTCCCATCGTTTCCAGTTTTGCCAGTGTTCCAGTTTTCCAGTGTTCCAGTTTCCAGTTTGTTTTCCAACGGCACTTTTCAGGGCCACCAATTTCTCCCAAAGGAACGCTTTCATCCTTTGCTTTGACCCAAACAAAGAACCCTCCTCCTCCTCCCTCCCTCCCTTAACCACCACCCACCCTTCACCAACGCCACCACCTTTTCTATGTTTAGAACAACAACAACAACAACAATAACAAAAAGATTTTTGACGTGCTTCTTTCAATGGCGATCTTGTTCACCTTTTACGACCGCTTCTCTGGGTTTTTCCCCTTCCCCGGAAACGGAGGCGACGCCCTCTTGGAGGCACACGCCACCGGAAACGGATGTGCCGCCATCTTGGATGCGCACGCAGGACCCATCATGCCCTGTGCGCATGCGCAGTCACGTGACCAAACCAAAACCGGAAGTGACGTCATCAGAGCAACCGACCAATCAGAAGCCAGGAGCGGTACCAGGGTACCGCTACTAACTACTGATAATGATACTTGTATTGCTGAAATGAATCAGTCTGAGATATACCCCTACCATCAAAGTCCAGATACTTGAGCCCTGGTGTCCTCTGTGGTCTGGTGATGGAGTGCTGGACCTCCCCGTCAGAGCTGTAGGTGCTGGACAAATCCGAATCTTCACTCTCGTTGGATGACATTGTGAATTCTGTAGGATAGCGCTCTTTGATTTATATGATAAAGTCTTTTCCCCAAGACACAAAACACACAGTTAAGTCAAATTTTGTTGTATTCTCTTACAAATATTGAAATCCAAGTGTCAAGCCAGTCACTATCTGTTCCAACTTAATGATAAGTACCATGCAAAACTAAATATATTTGCAATAAAGGCTTGCATACAATAAGAAAACAGTCACTGTATTCACTGCACGTCTTTTATGTACGGGAATAGATTATGTTCTGTGTGTTTAGATTGTGTTCACTCTCAGTCTCCACCTCATTTGTTTGTATCACTTTCCACGAAGGGAGCTGCAGGATTCTTCGTAGCCACTCAGTCCTTTCCATTCTGCATATACCATGATTCTGTATTTCATAAATTATTGGCCCCTGTTTGTCACAGAAGACAATCCCACCAAAGAACCTCACTGCTACTTCAAGTACACACTTGTTCCCTACGCCAGGGAGTCTATGGATTCCTATTTGGACAAGATCAGACGGTGGGTCACCAAATTCACCAGTGAAAGATAACACACAAAGTTCCTTGTTTACCATGATGTGCAGACCTTCCTTAAGTTCTTCTGGATTATCAACCTGAAAACCGACAAAATGGGGTACTTTAGTCTTGTAACCGCTCTCTGTGACCACTCTTTCCTCTACTCCCACATAATATGACCCTCCACCAGGAACTTTAGACATCGACGTTATATTGTCCTTGAGTTTAAGATCTTCCCAAATATACTGCACATGTGAGATGTCATTCTTTGGACAGAACAGTTTCAGTTCAACATTCTGAGATTCTTGGTACAGCTGCAGCTTGTCTTGATCAATTCCCTTTAAAGCAGGTACACCACGTGATGCCTCGTATTGAGAATGTGCCAGCAAGTAAACTAAATTAAATGTTGTAGGGCTTGTGTTTTCAAAGTCATTGCATATCTTTGTGTTAACATTTGCCGTCGAAATTCCACATGTGAGAGCTACATTTATCAATAAAACATCTTTAAAGGTTTCAAAGCATGGTATCTCATTTAACCATGTAGTGTGATATGTGTCCACATAGGAAGATCCACACTCAATCAGGTCCTGTAGAGTTTTGTCCACAAACTCATGGAAGTACTCCAGATACTTGTCTCCCTCCTTTTGTCCGTGTAGGTGAACCAGCAGATGTCCCCCAAGCGTGTTCCTGAGTGCTGACACTTTCTTTACTATGTCCTGGAGGATCTTCTTCTTCCCCTTCTTGACCTCCTTATTTCTTCCTGGACCTGTGATGATGCTTCTGTCTGCGTGAACGATGAAGCTGTGTGGAGCAGAGCTGTACTGTCTATATTCACGTTCAAGGGATGTACATCGTTGACACATATCTGAAATAATAATAACATAATAATATTATTATAAGGACCAGTCACTTCCCACTTGAAAACGTCAATGTGTGATTTTGCATCAACATGCAAATATGAAATGTAAATTATGTAATGAATTTAATTAGACTCTCCAACACATTGTCAGTGGATATCCAGCTTTGGCACACACACAGTATCTTAAATGACATGAGTAGCTCGATCATTTTATTACTGTCTTCGCCATGCTTGTGATTTTGACACAGTGGTCCATCCATGGTACAACCCAGAATATAAATATAATAATCATAATAGTAGATCATGGATAATGAGTATAATAAATCATTCAGTTTATTAGGATTTTGGAAATACTCAAATAGACATAAGTGTTTGATCTTTTATAGTATTCAACAAAGTTAATTTCAATCTCACAATGGGCATACATGCTGACTGTAATCTTCAGAGACAGTCAATTTGTTTTCGATGTGGATTTTCCTTTTTTAGATTAAATTTTCCGAATCGAATTGAAAGCTGACATCTGGTTTACTGAGGAACCCACGCGGTATTGCACTGGTAAAACCGTTATGGTTGTGTGAATGTATATTGTTACAAATCAGTAGAGGAGACTAAATTTGTGTACATGTGTAACGTGTCACTGCTTATAAAAGCACAGTACGTTTGAACAAAACTACCAACCTGAGAGGGTCGTCCCAGTAACTGAGGCCTACACAGGGGTGAAATATATCTTCGAGAACTACATACTTGAGATGGAACTAGAGGTGTTGGACGCAACAGTGTAGAGACACAGGGGGGAATCTGCAGGGGGAAACGTCTTAGGTGAGGCTACGTTCGTATCATCGGCTGTCGGTATGACAGCAGGTAAACATACACAATACACGTGACACACTGACTATCATAATGGCCCTTAACTCAATTCAGGTGGAATTCACTGACGCAAGGCCCAGCCAACTTTTACAGAGAGTCTTTCAATGCTCTATGTTAGAGTATTCAGTGTGTGTACTGGCTTGAATTATACTATCCATTGAACTCAATGACAGAAAATCGTCAAAGCCGTTCTAAGTAGTAGTAATGAGATAAGGTGTTCACAAACACATACAATTTTGAAATGTCCTCCATAAATCTTCATGTATAGATCTAAAAATTAATTAGATGAGGTGAGGTCACTGGTCTCTTATATTTCTATCTCAGATAAGTAAGTGGGTGGAAGGGAATCGGCTATTATTGAACGAAATCAAATCTTTGGTAAACCTCACTTTCTGGCATCACTGTTGAGGTACACATACAAAGATTGCATATAACTAGCGTCTGCAAAACGTTGAACTGCATCAACCTTAAACTGACTGGAGTTTGAATGGGAATTTAGATTCCTGATATGTACACTACTAGTGTACACTTAGGTAGGCGTCTGCTGGTCATAAGACGTTATTAGTTGTTTCCCTTCTGTTTTCGTGGTGTTCAAGTCAAATGTTGAGTGAGTGAGTGAGTTGGGTTAAACACCACTTTTAACAGTATTCCAGTTATATCGCGGCGTGTGTCAAATGTTGAGCTTTCAAACACATATTCACGTGAAGGAATGTAATATATGGCGTGGTTAATCATGACGGACATGTAGATTTTTTAAACAGTATACAAGCAGTAAAAGAATCAGTTATACTCACCAGCTGTGACCAAACTCTGCCAGAAACCAGTTCTAGTTCTAAATGTAGCACCGCATTACGCCAGTCGCAGCCTTTATACTGTTACCCTTCAGTTACACTATGTCACATGACCAGACCGGGTGAGCCAGCCCCATACTGTATACCAATACGTCATATGTATGTGCAATTCAAAGGAGAAGGCACTAGGTATCCAACTGGCGACGGTAAGAGGGAAGAAATTCATTTTCTATAACACCGTCGTTGGGCCTTAATCTCATGTACTTGTCTGTACATAGGACAGTTTTTTTACTTCATTGAAATATATGTGAACTATATATCATCTTATTTCTATGAGGTAAACCTGTGAATAGATAACTAGCTATTTTGTGGAATGGAGTTCAACTCACATCAGTTGAAGGTTAATTTGATCTATTAGCAGCTGTTATTGCCTTGTCCCCAATACCTTTGTTGTGTAATTGATTCATTTCAGTTTATCAGTGTTATTTTAAACTATGTCCATGCAATAGCCTCCAAAATAAGTTCCTCGTTAGCAGTTTAAATAGATGAAACGTATTGACGCATCTTTGTGTCCCCAGATCGCTCTAAATTCTAATGCTACCGCTACTGGTGACAGATGCTCTGCCCTGAAGAAAATGCACGGTTTCACAAGAGGACATTCGGATACATTTGTCTCGTTGATAGACCAGCTATGGCTCCAGATAAGTAAACATTTCCACATCAACAACCATGACAACCACAACAACTAGAACTACCACTACTACCACTACTACAGCTACAAGTTAATGTCCAGAACTGGGATTACAATGGGTACAACTACCACCACTACTACTGGATACAGAAAGTCGACATGTCACGTCAGTACAGTGGGCGATGATTGGGAATTATGCAAAAAAGGCATATGTAGAGAGTCGACTTATCACGTCAGTACAGTGGGTGGTGATTGGGACTTATGCAAAAAAGGCATATGTAGAGAGTCGACTTGTCCCGTCAGTACAGTGGGCGGTGATTGGGAATTATGCAATGAAGACCTGTATGTAGAGAGTCGACTTGTCACGTCAGTGAGTGGGTGAGTGAGTGAGTATGGTTTTACGCCGCTTTTAGCAATATTCCAGCAACATCACATTGTACCCATGTCGGGAATTGAACCCGGGTCTTCTGCGTGACGAGCGAACGCTTTAACCACTAGGCTACCCGACCGCCCCGTCATGTCAGTACAGTGGGCGGTGATTGGGAATTATGCAATGAAGACCTGTACGTAGAGAGTCAGTACCGGGGGAGTGGCAGTGAGTGAGTGAGTGAGTACTGTATTACGCAAAACCACAAATATACGATAAAGGACGGCCAGTATTAGCTTCACACACATCCACGTCAGTGGCTGGTGAGTGAGTCAATAGCTAAGTCAGTTTGTTGATAAAGCACAGTCAGCATTAACTATACTTAAGAACCTTTCTGGTCATATTCAAATATAAACCCGAAGGAAAAAACTTGCTCGCATTTCGATTTCACACAAGTCTCTACACACAAACACAGATGGACAGTAAGGTATGTTGAATGTCAGATATACGACAGTCGTCTTTGAAAGGGTTGGTTTTGTCACAGCAAATGTAAACAGTGAGTTCGAAACAAATAATCAACAGATTATAATTCAATAGTCAAGAGTTAACTTGTATCTGCTATTATGGATCTTTTGAAAGGTACTAGTTGCAAACATGCTACATTTCAAAGAGTGAAAAGTCACAAGACCTTTTATATGTTCTCCTTTGTCAACACAAATAATGCTGGTGTCATCGCCGGGCGTGGGACAAGATTTGACTGAATAACAACTCAGCTGGAAATAGCTCAGTGTTTCTAAAGGTGGAGGTTTAAAGATTGAAATACGACTGATAGTAATGGCTTTTCAATTACACTTGAAATGGTTCGTCCTATATGAATACCGCCTCCAGTGTATTGTACGCCTATAATCCACTTAACGGTAAGAATGCACAACACAATACCTGAACACTGAACAGCCATAAAGACGTGTGTTCCTTTGTGTGATGCAAAGTGTGCATACAATTTGATGCAAAGCGTAATATCAACAAATATTATGAATATATATCTTTGGAAACGCATGCGTCGTATGTAAATCATGCAGGGGTATTTGATATGTTTCATATGATTATATCAAATGTTATTACCTTAATGCATTGACGTTTAAGTTCACTCAGAGAGTCTCTACCATGACGGACAATCTAAATACATGCACCTTGCCAGTTACAATAATATCAATAACTATCTCTAATCACCTATAGTAGATATCCTACATCCAGTAGACTAAGTTTGAAAAACATGTTTTCATTTTACTGCTGGACATGTAGTAGCGATGTCGTACCCTGGTGGGTAAAGCGCTCACTGAACACCCGGGTTCAATTTTCCACTTAGGTATAATGTATGAAGCCATTCCGGTGTCCCCCGATGGAAATTCTCCCCCATCTTTTTACATTCTTGGTGTTGTGGTCAGTCGCCGAGGTAAATACATCTATGATTCTAGCTAAGGTAAAGAAAATATGATAAAATATGATAACATGTTGATTTTAAAGCTGTCTAACGAAAACCCATCTCACACATTCTCAAGGATGCATATTTATTTCAGTGTCGACACATTACTGAAAGAAATGAGATAATCTCTTAATGCTGAGATCTCTGGGCATGTACTTTTGGAGAAACTATTTTTCATTTCATTTATATTTCTTTTTAGATGTTAATCATCATAAATTAATAACCATCAATCCTGGCATGATGATATCCCTAAATTTCATCTTCATATTCCCAGTTTGCTCTAGCCTAGTGGTTAAAACGTTCGCCACATGGGTAAAATGTGTGAAACCCATTGCTCGGTGTCACCAATAATGATATTGTTGGAATATTACTAAAAGTGGCATAACACCATACTCACTCTGACAAAAAATTGAAAGTCATTAGCTATGTGCTCACTTTGGCCTTTCTTCCTGGTGAGATTAACCGATTATTTTGGAATGGACTAAGTACTTGTTACATCTAGACGGACGAGATTCATTGTAGTTTGAAACAGAATATAATTGCCCCAAATAGGCGCATAAGACTAATGGCTTCCACAGAAAACACCTAAGTAAAGTACATAAAAAAATGTCAATGACATTTGTATACTAACATGGACCTGAAAACTTTGTTCAGTGAGCTATATTAATTGTAGGAAAACATTCAGGGCATTAGTATATGTGATATATGTTTAGCACCTAGCTTATGACTGGTCAGTATTATATATCTTTATGCTAATGAAGCAAAAGAAAGATTTTATTGAGATAAAAAAAAATCATTACATTATTG